CAACTACCCCCCCCCCCACTAACCCTGTAGTAAGTACATGCTGTTTGTTAATATTATTCAGTACTTGTATAATTGTAATTACACTGAAATAACATTGTAACAAGGACAGCTAAAAAAAGTACACGGATACATTATGCTTTTTTTCCACCCAAAGACACTGCTAACCCTAACAGGATAGTCCACCAAAAAATAAACTTTTTGGTTAGCAACATTAGCAAGTATTTCAAAGACTTGAACGACATGAAAGTGAGTAAATTATGACTGATTTTTTGTGAACCATCCCTTTAAGAAAGATTGAGTGATGACATCTAAATGTTTTACAGCACTTGTATCAGCCAGTGCCTGATTTTTCTTGGAACGACAGAAACATTATTACAGGACTTGAGGATGGAGTTCACAATGTAATGCTGCAACATCATTCTACTACTACTCGTGTCCATATGGGGATGATGCGGTAAGAATCCATGTGTGGTTTGCAGTCCTTAATGGAGGGGCTTAAACAAGGGCCTGCTTTGAGAAAAGAGGATGCGGTTTAAGCAGAGCAGTATCTATAGCTAGATATGATAGGGCAATAAGAAAAGCAGGAGACACAAGACAAAAACGTCCAAGCAGTGTCTACTGCATCATACCAGCTACAGTAATTCCTTCAATCCTTTACTTAATTCCTTTAAATAATTTAAGGAAATAAAAAAGAAAGAACAATGTATATTCATCATGGCTTTTTGTTCCAATGATTCACCAGTAAATATAAATGCAGAATACTGAATGTCTCTGGGTTTCAGATGACAATTGCCCTGATCCAGGAAAACCTGACACTGCTGGTGCAGCCTATTAACAATACGAGAGGGGGTGGGGTTGAGAAATGCAGAGTCATAGGAAACTCAATTCTGCCAATCTATCGTGGATGTGTGAGAGGTGGACATAGACACATATTCAAAGTCACAGTCACTTTGCAGGCGAGCACACACACACACACACACACACACACATGTACAGTCTACTCTCATTTATGTGTCTTCCTCAATGTATGGATGTGTGAGAGGTGGACATAGACACATATTCAAAGTCACAGTCACTTTGCAGGCGAGCACACACACACACACACACACATGTACAGTCTACTCTCATTTATGTGTCTTCCTCAATGTGGGACAGTGACGCATGTCACTCTTGTCACTCTCATCACCCTGTCACTGTTAATTGATGTGTATCCCAGCAGTTGTGGAGCTGGCGGACCCCTCATGTTTCTTTCTGGAGCTGTCCTTCCTGTTGCCTCTCTAAAAACTGCAATGCAGAAGAGACTCCGGACCCCAAATAACACAGCCTAACAACCTGAACCCACATTTACAGCTCAGAGAGAGGGAGGAGGAGGGAGGAAAGGAGCAGAGATAGAAGGGGCGAGAGGAAGGAAGGGAGGGACAGGCAGTCAGCCAAGGAGGGGAAAAGTTGAGCATGAGCCAGATTTGAGCAGATTTTTCAAAGAGAGAGAGGAGGGGGGACTGCTGTTGAACAGACGAGCTGCAGTTGTCCTCAGACCTCTAGTGCTTCAATGCTCTTCACTTCTGTTTTACCGGCTGGATTGCGCGTGTCCCTTAAAAGGTGTGTCGGTGAGAGTGTGTGTATGTGTGTGTGTGTGTCAGAGGGTGTTCGTGTGCGTGTCTGAGCAGAATTGGGACCAAAGCACTGCGGATTTGTGTGCAGCATATTCTGTGGACCGATGCCCTCTGCTTCTCCAAACAGGACACACTGATTTACCTGCTTAACAGAGGTATGGCACAGACACACACACACACTGACTCAACCAGACACAAAAACATGCAGCTCTTGAGTCATTTGCAAACATTTTGGTTGGTTTTTCATAGTCAGAAATGTATGTATATATTATAATGCTGAAGAATGGACTTCATGCACAAATACAAAAGTTCAGTGTGTTCATCTTTACAGTAACTGCATTCAGAACCAAGATATGTGAGATCTTTTGTGCTTCTTTATATTTGTAATATGCTATATATGTGTATGTGAATATTTATATTTTATTAATATAATTAATAATCACATTATAATTAAGGATATTTTATTAATATAATTTAACAAATGTAATAATAATAATAATAATGTTTATTAGTAGTAGTAGTATTGTCAGTTTAGATTAAATTGGGCCAAGTTAATAAATATACATAAATACATTTATTAAAAAAAATAATACTAGAACAAAATTGTTAATAAAACTAGTTACTAGTAGTTATTAATATTATTATATAGTATACATAAATATATTAAAAAAAATAATACAATTATATATGCATATATTTAATTTTTATTATATATCAATGTATAATTAGCTTTGTTGAGATATTAAGAACTATTCATAATTTTTTTTTATTAATATTGTTTATAAATACATGGTTTGTATATTTACTAATTTGCATGCATGCTGTAGAACAAAATTGTTAATAAAACTAGTTACTAGTAGTTATTAATATTATTATATAGTATACATAAATATATTTTATAAGTATATTTTATTATATATGCATATATTTAATTTTTATTATATATCAATGTATAATTAGCTTTGTTGAGATATTAAGAACTATTCATAATTTTTTTTTATTAATATTGTTTATAAATACATGGTTTGTATATTTACTAATTTGCATGCATGCTGTAGAGACTTGCATCCAAACCAGCTTACAGTAAATTGCTTTGAAACTTGCTGACTTAAGTATATACTGTCAGCTGATCTCTCGTTGACATTATAGCAGATAGGTTTATAGTTAATGTGGGATCACTTTTTTTATACAAGAAATTGTGGAGTGTTTTATGTCTCTATGTACTTTGTAAGTCTTGCTGCCCTCTGTTGTAGAATTTTTCTGATCAAAATAAATTGCTCTGAAGAGGTTTTGAAGCCAGATAGACTTTATTAACAAGATAAAGCCGAGTTATGGTTTGCAAAAGATAACTCCAGAATCTCATTATTCGCATATATTCCCTGAAGCTGTTCAAAAGATTCCATACATGCACCTTTGTATTTTTAGACAAGGTATCTTTTACCATATATGAACTTCTGAAGGGTGATCAATAACATCAGGTATTTCTAGCTCCTATTTTCAGTGTCAAGTCCTTTGCCATATATGAGTGTTTTTCAAGTTTTAAATAGTTCACTGTTCTAAGTACACTGCAGTCCTTAGCACACAGTCATGTAAACAGCATACAGATAGATAATAGATAATGGTAGAGTAATTTTCTCTTATGATTGGGCATAATTCTACACTGTAAAAAATCACTGTAAATTTACAGCGTAAATTTACAGTACTGAACTGTTTTCTAAAATTACGGTGTCTTACCGTAAATGCACACGTGATCGGTGGGGGAGGGGAATTAAAGGCTAGCTGACGCATCGAGGAGCATCGGTTTCAGTGAAGGTTTTATATGCATGGATTTCATCTCAAGTTGACGCTCATTTACAGGTAAGCAGATCAGAGTCTGAAATAAGTTTATTTGATATATTTATTTTTTATGTGGGCACAATCTTTTAATTTGCCTTTGACAGATTGTTGCCAACCCTGAGGTTTAAGACGGTGAATTAGCGTTAAGTTAAGTGTGTGTGTGTGTAAGAAAGAGAGAGAGCGATTCTTGCAGCTAATTGCATGTTTTGTTGTTTCCTGGTGTCCTGTCCCAGGCTGAGAACATAGAGATGGCACACCTGCTTGTCAAGATTCTAACGTTAATGTCCCACTTCCAGGAACATGAAGATGGACTGGTTTTGCATGCAGACGTATTTAATTTTCTTCTTTCCACTTCACTAAATTATATTATGTATTCGTATTTGTGTATTGCGTGTTCTCTACAGGTTGCTACATCTGCATCTGATGTTGAGAAGACACTCAATCTGCCTGCCAGTCCTCGTCTGATTTTGCTGGGTTAGTGTGTCATTACATGTGATGAAGTAGAAACATTTACTAATGGTTGAGATATAAAATTGTTAACATTGCTATGGTACACGATTGTTAAAAT